AAGAAGCAGCACCCGTTCGGGAGGAGGGCGTGCTGCTGTCCAAGATGATGGCCTACTGCAGCAAGGCCCACTCGTGCGTCGAAGGCGGCCATGATGGCCTTCGTCAAGATGAGGATCCTGAGCCTGACGAGAACCAGAGCCTCAGGGATCCACGCTCCAGCAGGTGAGCGCCGTCCGCAGGGATACGCCTCGTCCTTCCGTGCATACATCTGGCTACCCATTCACCCGTGCATACACTCGTACATCCGTCTATGCATCCATTCATTCCTCCAGCCTTCTATCCATTCATTCGCCCATTTATCCAACTGTCCAGCCATCCAATACATGCTACACACTCGGCAAAAAGAAAGAAAAACTTCTTCATAATTCACATCCAATTTCCAAAGAGCTTCCCTTGTTACGATATGAATTTCCGCGTGTGATTCCTTCTCACAACCGGTCGGTAAGAACGCCCTCTCCCTCAGGTGATGGAGGAGGGACCGCGCCATGGCCTCATCCCCTTCTACGTGGAGGCCACCCTCGGCACCACCTCCTGCTGCTCCTTCGACAACCTCGCCGAGATCGGTAAGCAGGGGCGCCTCTTGCCTGTGCCCCTTTGTGCGGTCTCGACGTCTTCCAGGGCGCCGCTGACGGGGCCGATCAATGCCTCTTTCTCTGCGACGACTTTCCTGACGACAGCCTCTTGAAATATGCACCGAATATAACCTCAGCTATTCCTAGGGTGATGTATTATTACAGATGATGTAGTCGATAGCTAACTTCCTTTCTTCGTCCGTGTAGGTCCCGTGTGCGAGGAATACGGGGCTTGGCTGCACGTCGACGGCGCGTATGCAGGCAACTCGTTCATCTGCCCGAGTTGCGAGGCCCCATGAAGGGCATTGAGGTGAGTCTCTCCTGCATTTGCCTTCGTCTCCCAAGGGGGGGGGGGGGTAGAGTATTCTCTGTGATAGATTATTTAATTAAGGATCACTTTTTCCCGTTTTTTTCCCCGATATCTCCGTTTTGAATGACTTGTGAGATGTTTCTCCAGTCGGCCCTCTCTCTCGCGGCGGCTGAGGAATTCCTCTAAATCAAACTTTATGAGCGAACTTCTTAGATGAATGGAAAGTCATTAGGAATTTTCTTCTGTCCTAGATATCATAAGGGTGAGTTATAATCCATTTGTGATGTGATGAAAAACATTATATATTTATATATGTATAACACACACACACACACACACAAAGAACCCTCTTATAGTACAGACTGTACAAGTATATGTATAACACACACACACACACACACACAAGAGAACCTCTATAGTACAGACTGTACAATATATGTATAACACACACACACACACACACACACACACACACACACCACACACACACACACACACACACACACACACACACACACACCACACACACACACACAGAGAACCTCGTTGTAAACGATTTTTTTCCCTTTCCAGTATGCTTCCTCGTTCAACTTTAACCGAACAAGTTCATGCTGACGAACTTCGACTGTTCTCTCATGTGGTAAGTTTCTTGCTGTTGGTGAATGGTGTTTTCCGTAATTAGCAACACAAGCGGTATTAATAAGTCTTTAAAAAGTCGGTTCCACTTATAAAGTTACTTGTACACTGCAGATCGAATGAGTGTGTTTTCCCTCCGAATGGATGATGTAAAAGATAATAATTAAAATGATATATGAATATGTATGGAAATAGATAGATGGATAGGCAAATTAATAGATAAACAGATAGATATCGATAAATATGAATAGATATATATCTGACTATATATATTCAGACAGACAAACAAGTAAATGAAAAGGACACATAGAGATAAATTAATGAATACACGAATAAACACAGATAAATGATTGAATGAAAAAATCAAAAAAGAACAAACAAAAAAAGACAATCGAAAGAACGAAGACACAAATAAACAAATAAATGAACAATTAGACAAACAGATGAATAAATAGAAAGAATCAGAGACAAAAAACAAACAAGCATAAACGTAACCGTGTGTGTTAAAAAACAAACAAACATAAACCTAACCGTGTGTTAATGCCTTTCTTTCTCTTCAGGGTCAAGGACCGCTTCCGACTGACGCAGGCCCTGGTGGTGGACCCTCTTACCTGCAACACTCGTATTCTGAGAAGTCCATTGACTACAGGGTAAGTTTCCGCCGCGAGAGGCCTGCCTGTTGGGGGTGTCTGTTTTCCGTCCGTAATGGCGGTCGTTAGGCGTGGATTGCTTGTTTGGGGAGAACGGTTTTTCTTTTCTTTCTTTCTTTCTTTTTCTTTCTTTCTTTCTTTCTCTCTCTCTCTCTCTCTCTCTCTCTCTCTCTCTCTCTCTCTCTCTCTCTCTCACTCTCTCTCCTCTCTCTCTCTCTTTCTCTCTCTCTCTCTCTCTCTCTCTCTCTCTCTCTCTCTCTCTCTCTCTCTCTCTCTCTATCTATCTATCTCTCTCTCTATCTCTCTCTCTCTCTCTCTCTCTCTCTCTCTCTCTCTCTCTCTCTCTCTCTCTCCCTCTCTCTTGGGGTGGGGTGGAGGAGGGAGGGCGGAAGAAGTGGTGTTATCGTTTAATAGTTGGGTTGGGTTTACAGCATACAGACGAATGCACACACACACACACACACACACACACACACACACACACACACACACACACACACACACACACACACACACACACACACACACACACACGTGGGCTTATGGAGGAGGAGGAGAGAGAAGAGAAGAGAGAGAGAGAGAGAGAGAGAGAGAGAGAAGAGGAGAGAGAGGAGAAGAGAGAGAGAAGAGAGAGAGAACGACGAAAGAAGACAGAAGAAACGCAAAAAAAAAGAAAAAGAAAAAAACAGAAAAATGAAATAATCCCGATTCCCAATTCCTCCGTCACAACTCACCCCGCCCCCCCGCCCCCCTCTCCCGCAGCACTTGGGGCATCCCGCTGAGCCGCCGGTTCCGCGCCTCAAGCTGTGGTTCGTGATCCGCTCCTTCGGCTGGAGGGCCTGCAGAAGTACATCCGCGAGCACTCCGTCTCGCCAAGAGGTTCGAGGCCCACTCAGGAAGGAGCCCAGCTTCGAGGTCGCCAGCCCCGTCCGCCTCGGCTTTGGTCGCTTCAGGTGGGTGCTCAGTCGGCTTGGCTAGAGAGCGGCGGTAGGCCATTAAGAGGAAAAAAGAAAAAGAAATAAAACTAGATGGCCATAAAAACGATAGGCCATTAAGTAGATAAAAAATAGAAAAGAAGAAAAAGGACTCATAATCGCAATAATACCGACAGTAATCGCTGTCATTATATCAAAAAAATAAATCAAGAATACCCATGATAACCATCATAAATACTTACAACAATCACCAACATCATTAAAAACCAATCACTCCTAAACGACCTCGTCTGCCCATTAGACTGAAGGAACGAACCTGATCAACCAGAAGCTGCTGTCCTCCATCAACGCCTCCGGGAAGCTGCACATGGTCCCCGCTTCCCTCAACGACAGATACGTTATCCGGTTCTTGTGTCTGCGCCCAGAACGCCACCGACGCCGATATCGGTAAGTACAAGGGGGGGGGGGTCTTTGGGTCTCACAACGAGAGGTTCTTGTGGTCTGGGTTGGTATTATGGGGGTTGTGGTTTGGTGGAATCGTGGTATTTTAGGGCTTGAGTTTTTAAGGTTATTGTGGTTTTAGGGATTGGTTTTTGAATTTCATGAAAGTTGGGATGTTTTGGGCATTGATTTCGTAAACGTTCGTGGAAATTGCCATTTTCGGCACTAGTTTCATACTTTGAAGAGAATTGTTTATTTCTGGTTCTTTATATGGTTTGGTGAAACGTGCTATTCTAGATACTGATTTCGTATGATTCAATTACATTTTTGTTGTTGTTTTTCGAGACATTTGAGTTCAATTGACTGAAAGAAAATTTGTTATTGTAGACACGAATTTAGATTATTTTTCTCCCCTTCTACAGACTACGCTTGGGAAGTCATTACACAGTTTTGCTGCTGACATGAAGGTCATCATGGCCGAGGAATTGGAGAACAAGAGAAGGTAAAAACCCATCAATTGTACTTAGAAACCCATATTTTTAAGCACACCAGTAATATGTGAAGCAAGTGAACTACTTTATAATCTTCCAACTTGTTCACCTTATCCTTTACTCTATTTCACAACTTTCATTTCACTTTTTTATCTTTTATTATTCTACCTTACCTTAACTAGAATTCTTAAATTCATCCCCCTTTTCCTTTCCTCTCCTCTTCTCCACAGCAGGTCGAGGAGACGAAAGAGAACAAGGAAGAGGAGGCGCAGAAGGAGGCCGAAGAAGGCACCGAAGAAGTGTTCCAGATGCTCGACCGCAAGAACAAGAAGAGCCTGCGGTACAAGCGGTCCTTCTTCGTCCGCATGGTGTCCGACCCCAAGATCTACAACCCGAAAATCGTCAGAAGTCTTCCACGTAAGTCTAGCAGATCGGGACACGCTCGGAAAGGATAGAGATGGGTTATAGGGATTATTATTTTATAGAGAATGACTGACCGTATAGATAGGGACTGTAGGGAAGAGTAAGGGCGAGATCTACAACCCGAAAATCGTCAGAAGTCTTCCACGTAAGTCTAAGTCTAGCAGATCGGGAGACGCTCGGAAAGGATAGAGATTACGTATAGGATTCTAGTTTTATAGTATTATATAGATAGTTTCACTGCTGTGAGAGAGAGTCCTACAACCCGAAAATCGTCAGAAGTCTTCCACGTAAGTCTGACAGATCGGACACGCTCGAAAGGATAGAGATGGGCTATAGGGATTATTATTTTATAGAGAAACTGACTGTATAGATAGACTGTAGAAGAGTAAGGGCGAGATCTACAACCCGAAAATCGTCAGAAGTCTTCCACGTAAGTCTAAGTCTGCAGATCGGGAGACCGCTCGGAAAGGATAGAGATTACTTATAGGGATTCTAGTATTATAGTATTATATAGATAGTTTACACTGCTGTGAGAGGGAGTCCTACAACCCGAAAATCGTCAGAAGTCTTCCACGTAAGTCTAGCAGATCGGGAGACGCTCGGAAAGGATAGAGATGGGTTATAGGGATTATTATTATATATAGAGAGTGACTGACCGTATAGATAGGGACTGTACGGAAGAGTAAAGCGAGATCGAACCCGAAAATCGTCAGAAATCCTCCACGTAAGTCGGGCAGATTTTGAGACTCTGGGATATTACAGGGATTGGTTAGAAGGATTTTAGTATTATACTATCATATAGATAGTTTACACTGCTATAAAATAGATAGATATTGATCGTAGGATGAGTGAGAGGAGGAGTCTTCCACATAAGTCCAGCAGATCGGGAGACGCTTCGAGATTATGGAGATTGGTTTTAGGGATTATAGTATCATATTCTCAAATAGATAGTGATTGATTGTAGGGAAGAGTAAGAGAGAAAATCGTCAGGTTTCCCACATAAGTCTGGCAGATCGGGAGACGCTGGGAAATAATAGATATTGTTATAGGGATTATAATACTATATCATTATATATATATATAGTGACATTGTAGGGAAGAATAAGACCAAGATTTACAGTTACTGATCGTAGGGATGAGTGGAGGAAGATAAAGGATAATGGCAGTAAAAGATAGCAATGTAATGGGAAGATGATTGGTGAAAGCTATAATATATGTAATGTAATGGTAAATGGTGATTTGGTTAATTGAAGATAATGGTAAAGAATCGAAGAAGCTCGCAAATCCTGTTGATTAATCTTAGGGATGAGTAGGATGCGGATGATGATGGAAGAAGGGGAATATGCTGATAAGGATCTTAGTAAAGATATAGTAAAGATGGTAAGGTTATGAGGAGGATCGTGGATAATGATGGAAAATGATAGTAAAGTGATGATTGTGATGATGGGTGATGACAGAAAATGATGGGTGATGACAGAAACGATAGTAATAAGACGATAAGGATACAGGTAAGAGGTAGTAATGTGATAAAGAATGTTATGGACGATAATGATAAAGATAGTATTATGACGATTAGCATAAGGAGTGAGAAAGTTAGATAACAGTAATAAGGATTATAATACATACATAACACCATCACTGAATGAAATACACGGAATAAACTGATCACAAAGAAATCTCAGAACTTACACGAAGCAACGTGGATAATTACGTATGCATGTAGTGTTTACCTGTCTCTACCTCCCTCTTCCAGCCAACGGCCCGAGGCGGCACACCACAGATTCCGAGCCCGACAGCCAGACCTTCAACACTCCTGCTCCTACTATGTAAGTTTCGATGACTCATGCAAGATCCCTTTTGCATGTGTAATTGCAATGGCTTTTACTTTTATTAGCAGTCCGACATCCGCGAGGCTAATTATAGGGATTTTGAGAGGATAATGATGATGATTGCGTTAATGTTCATTGCCTTCAGAACGGTAATTGATAATCTTGTGTGTTTTGTCATAGGCGGATGTGGACTTGCTAATTGGGATAGTTATTTGTTCATTTGTAAATGTGTCTTGTTTGTTTTGCTATATATACATTAAATGTAGTTTTTTTTTAGCTAAATTTAAACTTCTTTAAAGGCTCTTGTGAATTATTTTTCTCATTATTATTATTAATTTAGTAAAAACCTTATAAATTACTTCTAGTAAGAGCATGTAAAGCTGACCTTTTTTTAGTTCTGCTTTTCTTTTGATTTCGAATATATATATCTAACAAGCCTGCCTAAGACGCAAGGCTGCATTCCTTGTGTTGCGCTTTGTTGACGTGTTGCATTGACGTGTTGCATGCCCGCCACAGTGACGAGAAAGCCGTGACGCAGATGCTTGAGGACGTCAACCTCGACGAAGTCTTTGC